TTTCCAGGCAATGCAGCCAAGGACTTTTTAGCAGGAAAGAGGGATAAGGCTGGGGTCTGGGTTACTGCTGCAAGTACATGTAGGTGCCAAGATTCGGTTCAGGTTCGGTTCAGACACGGTTCTGAACGTTTTTGCCGAATTTTGATTCAGTTCGGGTACGGACATGTACATCTGTACACACACATGTACAATGCACATTGTGACATTAAAGAGCTCGCTTCAAACGTGCCGTAGTACTTCTGAGTATAAAGATGCGTTAAATACACGCAATGAATCTCTTTTCCATCCCAATCCAAGAGCAACATCGATTTGAATATATTTTCTTTTCTAAACTGTTTCCCCAAAGTTTGTTTACCTATTAGGAGTTAATATGCCAGAGAAAGTTACCATCGGAGGTGTGACAGTTTCTGACCATGTTTTGCTGACCAAAAGCGGCACGTGTTTGGCCCACACTTGACTCAACAAAACAATTACAGGCTATGTGAAAACAGCATGCTCAAATTGGAATTTCCTCCTTTTATACAGGATGCAAGATCAAATAAGATTTGAGCAAAATGTATTTTGGTTATTTTTCCCCAAACAAATTCAACTTAGTACCAAATTATGGCGTTCGATGTAGTCAAAGAAGAACCTTGATATCATGTCAGTATGCCTTCCCAGGATGGCACCCACGAGGCCAAAGGGGTGATTTTCCATCAGTCTTTTTCAAACGGATGATGCCATTTTGTTATTTGAGAGTTGCGAACAACTTTATCTGGCAAAATTCCATTACAACACATTCACTCTACGACTTCGATCAATCACGCAAACCAAATCTTTTTGCGTGCTGGAGCACTTCACTGGCCGCGGCTGCCTAGCAAAATCAGCATTCCCTAGCCCTCCGAGTTGCCTTCGAGCACGAGTCCAACTATGATCAGAATCCATTTGTTTTGCATGGCCATTTATGACATCATTGGCCTCATATGGAACGTAAGGGCATGGCTTTTAGAGATTGACAAATATAATGCTAAATCTGAATATACATGTAGATGAGCACGATTGGATGTAGAGAGAATTTAGAATTGTTATGCAGTGGAAATGCCATACGTTGCATGTTTTCGGTTGATTATAAGTGAATTCTCATCACATGCTTTTTACAACCATCACGCACACGCACATGAACTGAGCACCAGTTCGCTTTGCGTTTGCTTTTTTCATCAAGTTTTCTTGTGTGCATTCCCTGTCCTATCAGTGCCATGCCACATTAAAGCCGAACATCCAAACCAACCACTTTGGTTCTGTTCAGTTCGAAAGGGCCATGTTCGATGACTTTTGGTTCGGTTCAGTGGTTCGGCTGCAGCACTACTCTGGGTATCCTTTGGACATTCCATGGGCCGTTTAGGACGCCTGCTTTGTAAGGTACATGAGGGAAAGGCATAAAAGGTAGCAACTTGGATGCCCTGCTTTTCAATTCAAGGCTGATCTACACAGCCAGTGTTCGCCTGCTTTCCCAGAACCCATACTGCGAATGAATGAAAGTCTCATTGAAGGGGCAACGAAAGAAACTGGGGGCACATGGGATGGGTGGAAGGAAGGTGGCACTTACGGTTGGTGGGTCCGAGTCCACATCAACAGCTAAATGATTAGTCGAGTCACCGGATGACTTCAGCGCGACATCGTTGGTACGTCCTACAGAGGAATAGGTGATGGTCAACCCTTAGTCTGGTCTCCAATGGGATTTTAGGGGTGCCAGAAAAGTTATCAACAAATGTAGCGTTCAGAAACACTGTTATCAGGGTCATTTTTTTTAACTTATGGTTTGGACGTGGAGCCAAAGTACCATTAAGGGAGGTCGCCAATCTTTTCGGGGATTTCTGAGCAGTCGGCAATGGATACATCATGCCAATCACAATCAGTGTGACATGGAGGTGGTAACCTACCCTGACTCTCCGTCATACAGCGCTGGATTTCAAACAGGATCCACATCACAATGTGGAATACGATGAAAACCACCATAACGATGAAGACATAGTTTGGAAGCCCGTCTAAGAGGCTGGAGCCATTGATGCCAATGCCGATGAAGATGGTTGCCACTGCTCACATCAAACAAACAAGAGAAAACACACCTTTGATAGCCACGTTTTTTAAGAATATTCCCATTGTTTTTGGTATTTTCCTCATTTTGCAGGAATGCAAGTTCCCAATCTCTTTTAGAGTCAATGAAAAACTACAGAATGTGAACCATTCAAGGGATGATTCATTAGCAGTGCTTGTCATGAAGTGAAACTGGTCTACGCTTGTTGCGCACACGCTCAGTAACGCCATGGCTTCCTGAACCCTCGTCCTGCCTGCCCTCACAAACCCTTTCCACTCTTTCGCTGCCCCAAAAGCTGCCACGACGTTTCGGCGTCAAATCTTCCAGACACACAGTTTGTCACAGCCCTAGTCAGGTGTCATTCGTTAACAGTGAGGCAGAGAGTTGGGCATGAGGGAATACCAAGAAAGTCAAAAAGGAACCCTCATAATGCTGGGAATCCCCTATTTAAATGTACGAAATCTTCTAAATCGTTATGACAAACTCAAACTGATGGATACTGCTGCAAATCTACATGTATGTTAGACTCAAGTGAACATGGATTAGGGGATGCTGTGTTCTGGACAGAAAGGAAAAAAAAATGTCCATTGAGAAAAACAAAGACAAGAAAGCCAGACTGTTACCAAAAAAATTTCAGACGACGAATTTTTTTTACTGGTTCCAGTACTCACATGCCAAGAGGTGTGCTCCAGTGCCAACTCCCCAGTGTGCCCAGTTGAAGATGGGTCGGCTGTTATCAAGTCAAAACAGGACACTTTTTAGGGGACCTCAAATGGAGGAAGAGCAGTCAACACAAACTTTTTCAAAGTTCCCATTGCATCGTCAGACTGGATGACAAACAAGCCATGCATTTTGGGCAAAAAGATTGTATCTAGAAGTGAACCAGTCAAACATAAATTGATTATTTTTCTCAAGTCACACATGAATGACTTACAACATAAGTTTTAGAGTGAAAACTAAAAGTTTAAAAGCTCATGAGAGCTTACCTCTACAGGTGTGTCTTTTTAAAAAAGGCATTCATCGCTATAGGCTGAAAAGTAACAATTTTTGATCAAAGCCAGATGAATGAGTTTAAAATTCTGATTTTGATTGGTCAATACTGGTTCACTGACATCGATGATCATGTCCAAGACAGAAACTGGTGTTTATGGACGGGATTCCCCAAGTTTCCTCATCTTGGTTAGCTTTACCATTTGACTTTTGTGAATGACTTTATTCACTTAAAATCTTCTGTAAAAAGGGTGGCTTGATTTCAAGCATTTAGTATGGTGAAAACTGATTGTTTTGCAAATACACTCTTTATGAACATACACGCACTGCTCATTTGCCATCTAATGCCAAGATGCATTGCCAAAAAATGTCCAAACCGTTTTGATGAAACAATATTTCACACACTGTCATCTACGGTTTGCGCTGGGAGCCAACGGATCCGTGACCAGGGTGAGATTCTTACTTGGCCGTTCCTGGGTGGGGTCGGAAGAGAGCCATGATGGGGTTGATGATGCCCAAGACAGTCACTGCAATACCACAAATGGCATGGATGACAGACAGCGTCTCCTGTGCAAGGAAACGGCAGAGAAGCCTTGTGAAAATAAATCCCCTGCCTGTTCTGACAAGTTTGTTCAATACACTCCCAGGACAGTCAAATTGGTCCTCTCTTTGCCGTTCACCTCTGTAACGTTTTCAGACCCTATAAGCTTTTGTGGGTCATGAAAAGAACACGCCTCTGGGCTCTTCCTCCCACCTCTAAAACTGTAACAGCTTCTTGTCTCCTCTCTGCAGGTTCCTTCAGGCTTGCGACCTACAGCACCTGTACATGTGGCACGCTTTTGACGAAACGTTGAGTTGATTTACCAAGCGTGCTTGATGATATCTAGATGCTGGAGATGACGGGTTCATTTAAACTTCCCATCATAACACACAGCTTAAGACATTGTGCATAACTACAACAAAAGTTTGGCCTGGGAAAAACTAAGGTTGTGGTAATGCAAAATGAGGAACTTCTTTTGTTGTAACAAAAGTCACCCATTAAACTTCATGGAGCTTTTTCCCACCTGACACCTCACTTATGTATTCTCAACTTGGATAATAATCAACAGTTCAACACAATTTCATAAATACTGAAACAAAACATCCAACTCACCGATAATTCGACAAAGCCCTCCAGGTGCACAAAGATCAAGACGAATGCAACACTGAAGCACAGCACGCAGGAAACCATGCAGATCCGGTGAAGCTGAAGAAAACCAACATTTCAAATTGGGACCACTAATGCCAGCTTTAGAAATATTGCTAATCGAAACCCTAATGGCTGCAAAACCAATGACAACAGTGATAGCCAATGGCAGCCTTATCAAATCATATTCCTCATCTGCATTGTATTTACCGACCTTGCTAAAATGGGAAGGTGCCTGACTATTTTTGTTGTCATAATGGCTGTGACCTCCCTTTGTAGAGTATTTTTGCTGTCATAACGGTTATGACCCAATTTTTTAGTACTTTTGCTGTCATAATGGTTGTGACCTCACTTTGCAGAGTTTATTTGCTGTCATATTGGTTGTGACCTCAATTTGAAGAGTACTTTTGCTGTCACAATGGTTATGACCTCACTTTGAAGAGGTCAACGGCACTTGTAATAGCAAGAACCAAAAGCAGCCCTGGAGATATCCAAGCAACAGCCCCATTCCTGGAAATACCATAGAAATAGACTCTACTTTTGAAACATCAAAGTCATTTTTGCCAATACTATGGCACGCTTTTGGAACGAAAATGATCCAAAAATTTCAATTGAAGTTAACAACCTCTCTTTTTAACACTACCTGTAAGGAAAGGCGGAGTACGATAGAACATTTTGACTGTCACCGAATGGCAGTGTTGTAGTTGAGTACTTTTTCCCCCGAGTACAGAATACTGCCGAATACTTTAATTTCCGAGTACCTGAAAGTCTGAGTACTTTACCAGCTGAGTACAAGAACTGATTTTCGAGTACAAGTACTTGTACCTCTTGTATGAGTACTTCTAATTATGAGGACAAATCTGTACATATGTACGTGTACTTTACAAGGCAATACACGGTGACAGTGACAGTGCGCCTTTCGGCCACCACGTCTAGTGATGGTTCATGTCAAGGAATAAACAGAAAGGTCTTGGAACCAAGACTAGGAATACACCGGCGTTTCGCACTTGTAATTGACTAAGATGGCGAATGACAATGTGTAGGCCTTGTGTTTGTCAGACTGCACTGAATGTCGGTCTGTGAGGATTGATTTTCTAGTACCGTTGTATTTCAATGGCCTTTACGGGATTTAAAGGATTGTTTTATTGAGTACTGTTAATCGAGAACGAGAACCTCAATGCTCCAGCGCAATTTTATTTCGAGTATTTTGCAGCCTGAGTACCCGGTACAAGAACTGTTGTTCGAGTACGAATACTTGGAAATTTGAGTACAAGACACAAGTACTCTGAAAACGGTACTCAAGTAGTACTCCGGTACTCAAGTAGTACTCCGGTACTCAAGTAGTACTCTAGTACTCAGGTAAGAGTACTACAACACTCCTGAATGGACATTTCTCTTTGCATCTACACTGTACAGCACAAATCGACCGGTGAAACATTTCACAATGCCCAAATAAATCTTTGTAAGTATATGCAGAGAATCTATGAATGCCCTACAAGTTCAAACATTTCTTATGCACACCACCAACACAGTGAGCATCCAAAGGTTGGAATATCTATGGATTTAGTGACCAGTGGAATGGAAGTGACACTTGACATTCATGACTTGTCAGTAAGATGATAGGGATTTATTCAAGCATTGTGTGGACATGCTTCGTTCGCTACACATATATACTCACTGCAAACCAGACTTTAGTGCCCAAGAGTTTGGAGTTGGGCCACATCGGCTTGAAGAAACGGGCCATGGTGATACCAACGCTGGCAAAACCCAACCAAGCAATCACCATCAGAGACGCTGGCCACACACAAATCAGAGATCCAAGAAAAATGTCATTTGAAGGATGCTGATTTACAAACTACTGGTCAATTACAAGTACTCCCCCCCAAAATAAAATTCCCAACCACAGCCAAGTGTTTGATTTGCACTTTGACAAATTATTTTTGTTGGGCACTGTAGACCAATTTTTTCTGTTAGCTTGGTTACAGGGGAAAAATTCCCATCTTGCTAAGGTAGGACTCTGGTGGAAATTGAACCCTCCAGTTTGCTAGTGTACACGTGTTGGCCTCTTGACCAAAGAGCTTGTTTTTAATGCAATATAGCAGCAGGTGCATGTACAACAGTCAATAAAGGGAATGTTTGTATTAAAAAGATCTTTTGTCAATACGGCGTTTCACAATAGCATGCCCCCAGGAGTTTGTAACGTGTTGGCCAATCACAACGCCCGAAATCTGTTGACCTTTTCCAAATAAGTATCGGGATGACAGATTTCGCCCACTGTGATTGGCCAACGCATTGCACCTCTTGGAGGCGCACTTTGGTGACCTGCCTGTATTAAGGTCCCATGGTTCCCTCAGATGTTGAAAATAACAACATATTGCCATTCAACGGTGGGCCCAGCACATGTGCCGTTATCTTACCATGGGCCTTGGGCAGTGCTTCCCCTTCTGCCATAGGTCTGGAAAAATCTGTTTGCAAATTTCGTGCTTCTGCTGTCGACCATCTTTCTGCATGAATATTGCCTTGGATTGTTCCTGCAAGCCATTTAAAAAGGTGTGCCATGAAGTTACCGTAATTGTTCCATCAGCTGAAAAAGATTTGCTTTCTTTCATGTCTTCAGTTTTTACCAGGAATAAATCCTCAAAAGTTTGTTTTTTTAATCTACAGTTGTGCTCAAAATTATTCATACCCTTTGGAAAATAACATACTTCTCTAAATTCTTCATTTGCAAAAGCTAATATTCATGTTGGTACTTCCTCTATATCTTTTGTCTATTTGCTGCAATACACAAACCCACATGTGTGCTGGCTAAAATTAATTTGCATAATAATAGATACGGTCCAGGTTTCTTTTGCTCTCTTTCATAATAAGCTAAATAGTCAAAATAAAAAAACTTGATGAAACAAATTAGGGAAACCATTGAAACACAAATTATTACAGTTTGTAGTTAAGTAAAAAAAAGAAGAGAATCCTGTCAAAAAAGTCCCTTCTTCAATTAATTCTAAACGTCAACAGTGTATGAATATCAAAAACAGAGATCAATGATCAGACTCACCATCGCTTTGAATGCTATTGCCGTAAGCCAGTAAGATAAAGTATTGATTGTTGCCACCAATGTCGTAGAAAGACTCATCCCCTTCAAAGTTGGGCTTCCTTGTGAATGTACAAGTGATCACCCCATTGGAAGACGATGCATTTTGTAGGGACACGGTATCCTGTGAAGTAAAACGGAAAAGAGTTACAGGTGGTTCAGGGGATAATTAACCACTTCGCGCCGGTGGCAGTTATCATCAATGTTGATGATGCTGGGATGGGATAATTATCATTTTTTTTCTGTTTTCAAAATTCTTCAGAATTCCTATCTTCATTTATCGCACACTTACACCCACATGAAGGACTGTCTGGTTTCTACTCTAATCTGACAGACAACATCTATTGACGATGGAGTATTTCAGCCAGGCCTGCCACCTTGTGAAAAGAGCCCAGATTGTGTGGTATTACATAATTTTCTTTTGTTCATGAAACTGGCACAGTGCATTGCTGACCTCTTTTCAATAGGGGCCAGATCAGCATGCAGCGGTGCTGCGTGGCTCATCGCTGCAGTGGTGGAGTACTTTTGACCCCGGTGGTAATCCGCTCGCACTAAATCATACAATGTGGTATACTGTTTCAAAACAAGGCTGGATTATCTCCACTATTGAGAATGAAAAAATGTTGGTAATGTCCAGCAGCCTGGTCCTTTGTTACGAGTACAGTCTTTTGTTACAAGGGCCCAGTTCCCCTTGTCCGATTTCGAAGACGCTGGCCACGCGTATAAAGAATATGTGTCCGGTACCAGAAACCCTGGTGGCAAGTGTTTAAAAAGAGCAAAAGAAGGGGAGGAAAGGATGGCTATGCAAGGATGCAGAAGCATTAAACGGGGAGACGGCAAGTTGCATTGTTGGTGCCGTGTCCAAAACAGGATGAACATGAGTTTCAGTCACGTCAGTCTGCACAAGTGAAGACTGTCGGTGGAGAAGGAGACACCAGGGCCAGAAAGCAAAAGCCATAAACGGGTTCAAAACATCTCCTTACGTTAGGCGGAAGCCTGGCTACTGAGTTCAGACTTCCATCGAGACGCTGATTTATCGACCTTCTCACTTGTTCTCTACTGGTGCATGCATACACATCAGCTGGAATCTTGTCATCAAAACAAAGAAGAAACGAAACACTAACAGCATTTTAAAGTTGTAAATACATGTATATGAACCACCATCTCCCTGGTACAAGGTTTATTGTCAGATATTTAGGCTGGCTTGGTTGGATGCAGGTGTTTACCAACACTGGACAGCAAGTACTAACAAGTGCCACAAGAAATTAAAGACTTAAGAGATTCAGAATGTCGTACAGAGTAAGGTTTTAAAAGACAAAAATACTCATAAAATATTAAGATTTACACTGAACCTCAGGGTAAGGGTTACAAAATATTTAATGCCCATGTAATCGCACTTAACTGTCGGCTGTTTACTGTACTACAACATATGGTCGGTCTCGACAATGCTATGACTTGACGTTTGTTCTGCGTACAACATCTAAATCAGCATGTGTGTACCAGTAAGTTCATGAATATGTATCTCTTGCATATGACGTGCCGTGTGTGTATGGCATGTATGGTGTGTGTATACATTACGTGTGCTATGTATACGCAATACTGGTTTTTCTGATTGGTCACTGGTAGCTGTAACACCAGCGATGTTGCGGTTGTAATTTCGTGTCTGGTTCGCGTGTTACGTACGGGTACTGGACACAGTCGAGAAAAAGCATGTACATACATGGACATGTATGCCGTATTGTAGTCGAGACACGGAAGTCCAAGACCGAGACCTGATGGTCTGAGACCGAGACCAGGAAAAAACGGTCTCGAGACCTACACACTGTGCGTGTACATGTACATTGTTTACATTTCACTGGGCATACATGCATGTGCATTTACATGTACCTACACGTACAGCAAAGAACGTATATGTACATGTACATGTACTTTTCATGTGCATAAACTGTTCATAGTGATATGGATTTTTTCCTGTCTCTTGGATTGTGAATAAAACGAACCATTTTTCTGCAGGTTATTGTCTGTGTGTTTACTTTGCTTGAGTAGACTTATAATCATAAATATTCTGGAAATTCATAAGTGCCATGGCCAATTATGATTACTCATCAACAACTAAACAACAGTCAGCACCAAGTGCACACTGCTAAATGTATGCATGTTGTTGGAGCACAAAACGTTAGTGCCAAAAAAGAAATTTGGGGGGAAGACACGGACTAGTGAAAATGCTGGCGGACTAGTAAAAAGCCATCACTGCTAGTCTGGCTGGCGAGTGAGAAAAAAAGTTAAGGGCAAACCCTGTGGTACACTCATAATGGTACGATATTAAAAGCAAGCAAAAATCTGATTTCTCTCAACTGTGGTCTCACCAAAAAATCCTGGTTCAATATACTGATAACGAAAGAACACATTTGCCCTTTTCCACCTGCCCATCCAACTTTGGAAAGACAAATCCAGTCACTACAGCGAACTTACCATTCCATTACCTGTGGCGTCCGCAGGCCTAAATCCCACGGCTACCCAACCGTCGGCTCGTGCCCTCAAGGAAAAGCGACTCTCTCCAGAGGGGAGCGTTTCCCAGGTCACATATGCAGTGCAGCCATCACCGGTACACTCGCTGGGCTGATTGAAACAGCCTTTGAATTGACCACAACCATTCAGCTGCAAGGAACATGCACATGTACATGTTATGGGAACACTGAGTTAAGCAAAAATTAGGCAGGGAACCAGTCTCAAGTCATGAACTTTGGCCGGTAACCTTTTTCTTTGCTGGGGTACATGTACATGTGTAACGTGATTTCAAACCACAACTAAGAACAGGTACATGTAATACAAACATGGCCGCATTCTAGTTGGTGACCAACCATGCCAACTGTCCATGCCAACAGCAGCAGTCATACAGTAATTGTTGGATTTGAGCCAAAGCCCCTAACAGGAGCTTGGGCACACCAAGGTTAATACAAAGGAATATCATAACTTGTGGTGCTCTAACTGGATGACCGAAGCTGTGGTGTAGTTTACATGTACATTATGTACTGGTACAAAGTCAAATGTCCAAGAACTCTGTTCTCACAGTAGCAATAAACTTGAGGGACTGGTACATATACATTACATGTGTACCGGCTGCTTACTGTCTATCACTGAAGTCACAAAACGGTCGATTCATAATAGTGCACCTCCAAGAGTTTGCAATGCATTGGCCAATCACAGTGCGCAAAATCTGTCAACCCTTTCCAAACGTACGTGCACCACATGTAGGTCGACAAATTTTGCACACTGTGATTGGCCAACACGTTATGGATATTCTACACCAGAGAGCAACGCACATACACGTACATGTACCAGTACCCTCATTGTTGATGGCGTCCTAAAATTGTGTAAATACATTTGTGTGCATGTACGTACATGTCCATGTATACTGTGCAACTGAATGCTTCTCTAGTTTTCACATTCATGTAAAAAAACCCACTACATTGATAATTAAGGACTAGCCCAATGACTTATATTACTGATAATGTACCTGACACATGGCTTTGAATCCAATTTGAGAAAAGGTGATTTTTGTTCATACTGCAGTGTTGCACAGTACATGCATGTACAGTGTGTACATGTACTTAGGAAGCCTGCGAGCAAAACTGTAAAATCAATCAGGCTGTGTCTGAATGATCTGGCTGTGGCTAAGGGTAACACAGGCATCCATGGAAGCCATCCGTAGTCAGTGGCTTCCATTGGCTAATGTGTGTACATGTATATTGCCAGCCGTGGCCAAGTGCATTATAGTTTTGAAATGGCCTTGCAATACATTTAAACAGACATCACTTCCACTGCAGGTGACCTGCACTGTACAGTACCCCACATTACATGTACATGTCCAGATAATCAATACTAGTAGCAAGTTTTAAATTTCTGAAAAAGTTGAGTTGGAATTTTTATGTGAGGCCCACATCCCTCAAGGGAGTCACAACTTACAAGATTTTGTAACGACAAGAATATAATATCCAATCAGTGCTCTGAAATATGTGATTGTTATTCCTGGTTAGTACAAAACAACTCGATCAGGAAATGAAACTGATACATGTAACAGTAAGTTGCCAAGGCATTAACACAAGTTGAAAAACTGAGTATTAGGATTACATGTGTAATGAGAAATCAAATATTCAAGGGTCACTGGACCTCAGCTTCTTTCAAACGAAATGACGTGCTAATTCGTTAGATGACAATATCAAAGTTAATGAAACAAAAAGCAAAATAAAAAAGAAAGTAATGTACAATTAACCAAAAGCAAGGAAGTGAGTGCTGTGAAAATGAGGCTTTGCCAAAACGGGCATACATATATATCGGTACTGTTGAGTCAGACTATTTAAAAAAAAATTAGAAATGACAGTTGTAAAACATCTGCTCAATTCCAAGAAAAGCTTGCCCATGCCCGAAGTGTAATTAAAAATTCTACAGTATGGTGAATTGACGCAGTCTATCAGTTTACTTGAATGTAAATTCATGTGTACACTGTACATGTGTACATACCCCTGCATGCTGAATGCAGAGTACAGGTTATTGTACATGTACATATACACGTAGCTGCCCATCGGTGCACATTTTGTACAACACCTGTACAAGTGCACCTGCCGGTACCTTTCCTTCTTTCTGCAGCGCATGTACATGTATCTTTCATACGCATCATGAACATGAACACAAAAAAGAGGAAATTCCAATCTGTACACGTACAAAACTTTGTTCAATGTTTTCAGATTTCAATGGCAGTGAGTTTGAAGTGAAAAATGAGGAAATCAGCTGATCTGAGGAAAGGTTGCATGCCTGATCATAATGTAACGGTACCGTACATGTGTCCAGCAATATGATGGGGGTGAAAGGTACCGGTAATGGGGCGATTCTGAAGACAGTAATTGGGTAGAAACATGGCATTTTGATCACCTGCGATTGTCATCAGAAGAAGTTGCACAGATGTACTTATTAAAATACCCAAAGTCAAGTTGATCTCTTTCGGGTTCAGAACCACCTTTGGAATCCTGCAGCCGATATGTTAGTTTTCTTTTCCAATGTTCCAAGCTTTAGATCTCATTTCCTGACGGAAAGACCCACTGCTTTATTATGCATTTAAAATACAGCCTCATTTTAATACACATCACTCTCTTTTCAAAAAAAAACAAGGTGTGAAATGTGGAACATGAGATCAAATAGTCCGCAAGGTGCATGGGTACAATGTGCATGACGATGGTGCATCTTGGGTGCATGGGTACAATGTGCGTGACAACTGTGCCTCTTGGGTGAGTTGAATGACATGCGTGCTGATTAGTGGAGACTGACTCGGGGTTTTACCAGTGTCACCAAGTGCACAGAAATTGGGGGACCTCTCTTTGCAGGGGCTGTAAGACTAAGAGGGTGTTCTTTGCCCCTCCCCAAGGGGGAAAAAGAGACAGAACCCAATAAAAGAAGAAAAAAGAAAAAAACAAAGCTAAAAAAGAGGGAATGGGATGAAAAATCATAAATTAGTGTGGTGATATCCCAGAACTGAACTCCCTCCGCTGTTGGTGGACCGTCAGTTTGCCGCAGAGTGCTTTGTTGTCTTTCCCCCTAACAGCTTTGGCCAATTGCTGGCAGTGCCCGTGCTTCTGTTAAAATGCTTAGATTTTGGATTCTCAAAGGGACACAATACCTCTGATTTGGAAACAGTGTCTACGTACCCGGTATATGAGTTACATGTACATTGGTTGTATTTTGTGGGCATATGTAATGTACATGCACCATCTAACCTCTTTTTGACAGGTGTTACTGTTTTTCTAGCTCTGCAGGTGGTTACATGTACTGAAAAAGGATTTAATAAATTTTGATGCCATTAAACTGAAGAATTACAAATGATGCATGTACATGTACATGTGGCTCATGTATGTAGTTTATACATTTGCGTAGTGTGGTCCCTTTTCACAAACTATAGTTTTTAATGACAGTCTTCATTCTGTTCAAGGTTACTTGTTAGGCACAGACAAAATTATCACAACAGTGAAGGACATGTGTAAAACTTGTACAAATGTACAGAACAAAGTTGTTTAAGAGTGACAAAGCATTTGACTGGTCATTCAGATTTGACCAAAGGAAAACCTGGTTTCATCAGACGGTTTGCTGGATTTTCGGAAATTCTTCAAGAGGCAATGTGTGTCTTGGGGGTTTTCTGTGCACTTGGTCATCCCGGCTGCCCCAGCACCATCCCTCATCTGGTACATACCCCGACTGTTTGATCTCCTGTCCTGTCACCGTGCCTTTTGTGCCTTGTACATGTAGAGCTACTTACGTCTTGGCCGAAGGTCAAACAGGTCATCTGAAGTAGGATCACAGGAAGGACCAGGGCGGGGAAGGACACTCTAATATTCATTTTGGGTCTGTCGTGATTCCCACCCTGTACACGAAAGAAGTACATGTATATTATTACACTTGGATTTCAACATCAGGCCAATTGGGCCTAACTGTGGGTTAAGCATCCGAGGGTTTGCTCAAAAAGCTCCATTCCATTTCAACCCAAAGAGGCAGAACTTCATTTTTTCCAATTCATTAATTTTCTCTGTGAATTGAAAATTTCATGTGGTGCAAATCACATTTCCACAAGATACATGTATATCAAACGGGGAAATACAAATGTACATGTACATACACAGCTCTGATGTAACAGAAATGTTTAACATCTTTCCGCATACTTTGACACAAGTACATGTACATGTAGTGTTTGTGGCACAATGAAATTTCCAGTTTGTGAAAATTCCAATCAGTTTGTTCCTTCTTTTCCAACCTGCTAAAATATGTTCCAGGTACAAACGCACTACATGGATAGGTACACTGTATTCACAAAAGTACATGTATACAATGTACACCTTTTTGTCAGCGTTCTCATTTCAATATTCACGCTGGTACTATGCAGGTGTACAGGTAATGTACATTACATCAGTAACCCTCCTTTAGCTGTAACCGTCAAAAACAGTCAAAAATTCCTTCCATTTCCCCAGTATAGTAGATGTACATGTATCATGTCACATGACTGATTTTGACTGAAAGGACAAATGTGTCGAGAATGCATCTTTGCATAGGAGGGTTATTAAATAAATACTTGTACAATGTAGTTAACATTGATTCTGAATATATATCCATGTACAACTTGACACGCCCAGTGGTAGCACTCGTGACATGGATACCGGTGCAGGTACATGTATTTACATTACATGTTTTTATTTATAAAGTTTCAAAGTGCATGAGAACAGGTACACATGTATATGTACATGGCCAACTTCAGTAACACTAACACATTGCTGTTTGAACCCCATACTGAACAATACATTTGAAAGCCAGATTGGTAGTTGATATGAGACCAGTGGGATATCGCACAGTGCATGTGCTGGCACATGGAGAATTTTAACTCTTATGTCATTACAGTACATTGTATCACATTTTACAATACATATATGTATGTACTTACAGCTAACCAGCATGCAATACGCAGACAATTTGAAACCACTCAAATGTTAAACAAACTGGGTGTTCGCCTAAAATGTACATGTACATGTACAGTGTAGTGGGTGCATGTACTGCCAACACTAACAACGAAGAGCTGAACTGGACCACAGCGTCATCGGGTGCGGTTAATGAGAATCAGAGAATGAGCAATTGTGATGGGAGATGGAGTCCTTGGCCGAACTAAAAGGGAAAGTGTAGGTGATGCCAATCACCCATACACTTGTGTATTTAGACTCAGTGTTGGCGTAGTTACATGTACATGTAGCTACCGGTAGCATGATTTCTGCCAATCACCATGCTCACTCTTCAACACCCATCCCATGCCTGACCTGCATACAAAGGGCTCGATGAATCGGAAAACTGACGCATCAACAGGCGACTTGTTTGTTAGCTTCAAGGTAAACGCAGAGGCCCACTTTTTAAATGTCAACTACATGTAAAACCTGGCACCTTGAAACCCATTTCATAAAAGGTCTACCTGAATACTAAATTACTTTTGAAGGCCCTTCAGAAAGACTACAATATATCATGAGCAGCATTTTGATTGGACAACACATAAAGACTAAATACAGTACAACCATACATGTACTAGCAGGATCTGCATGTGCATGTATGTAATTTTGAATCAACCTACATGTACATGTATAACGTACAATCCTTGATTGAGTATTGATGTTGGGTATTCAAGTCTCATGATATAGCATAATTTGTGACAATCGTGCCAGGGATTGACATCCAACTAACAAAGTACAGCACCTGATTCAAGAGCCTTGAAATTAATCCTGCGGTTAATTGACTTTCACGGGGGGAGGGGGTATTTTGGTTTAACAATCGGCACTGTGCCAAGTACGAGGACATTAATTCCAATGCTTTGTAACACCATCAACCCGTTTTGTGGTTTCACCATGACTATGCACAATTTTTGATATTTGAGGCAACTGTTTGCAGCCAAAGGCTTTAAGTAATTTTTCCTGGCAAATGTTATAAATGTAATACTAGTACCTGCATATTTATAGAACATTTATAGAATGTTTATAGAACATTTATAGAATGTTTATAGAACATTTGTCAGGAAAAAACAGTGTAAGTTGTTTAGCCAATGTGCAAATGTATACTCCCTTGTCAAAATTTCTGCAGGAATTCCTGTTTTATTCCTATTGGAAATATGTTTCTACCGGTATTCTGTTTTTGTGCCCCCAAACAGAATTAAAACATATTTTGATCCTGTTTTCAGCAAAAACACAGGTCTGTTAGATCCTGTTTTGTTCCTATTTCTCCATTGAAACCTGTTTTTCCCTGTTTTCCGACACACTGCTTTCTTACTGTGTTTTTTCCAGACCTTGAAAATGTTTGCAATCCTGCCGCCCTGTTTTCTTACTTTTTTGGGGGACTAAGAATTTGTTCTAAAACCACCATTCTGTTTTATTGCTATTTTGAGGGGTTTGACCATACCCAGACTTCAGGGTGCACCCTCGTATTAAGGCCAGAAATATGTCCGCGGAGCTCATTAATAAAAGTTATACACTCAAAATATTCTATATTAGAGGGTCCTAAGAGACTGGACCTCTGGGCCGGACTCAGAGCTTCCAATTCTGAGCAATTTGGATGCAATCGGGTTTGAAAGTGCCACTATTTGAGCCATTTTGCCGAGGGAGGGTTCTTCAAAATGGCTACTTTTCTGGACAGGGACATTTTCTGCATTTTAGGGGTGGTCTGCTTCTGGTGAGAATTTCTCAAAAATTCACTGGTCAACCCCCCGAAAATTGAAAGGAAAATGAAAGAGGACATGTGGAACATCATTTAGCTGTGCAGCCTGAACACCTGTGAAAGTTGTGAGTATTTTTAAAATATTTGTGAAATATGGGAATTTATCACTGCTGTCTACAGGAATTTTTTTTTAAGTGGTGCACCCTTCACAACACATCCTTTAACCTCTAAGTGACCTTTGGGATTGTGGGAAATTTGATTTCAGCTACGGTTTGAATCACATTAAGCAGTAAGACTGGGACACTGACATGTACGGCAGGACATGCACATTCATTCATTGCACATTCGAAAAAGAGGAATACTAACGCTCCACCTAAGTAGAGCTCTGTGAATACTTAATAAAAGGCCCTACCTAGTGCCTAGGCCTAGTAGGCCTAAATGAATTGGCTAAAATTAAATGAAGGGATAGAAAGACCATGGGCATGATGGGACAAGACAATAATTTAAATTTTTTTTGAGAAATCCCAGAAAGTCAACTTGATACCTGAACTGTCAACGGGGCTTGAACTTAACACTTCTTACTTGACCCCTTCGCGCCGGGACGCGGCTAGAGCCGCCGTAAAAATTGAGATCCTCCGCCCGCTTTTCAGCTATTATTCTCGGCCCACGCTCGAGTGAACACACTGTAAGAAGGCAGACCCTGGCTCTTGTATATATGGTGGTTGGCCTTTGTGTGTAGCCCAGAAATGAAAACACTGAATTTGAATCATAATCACCAGCTTCACAATAGTCCCCACTTTGAAAAGAGGCAATGGGAATGTGGAAGTGTGAGTAGAGCCGCATGCCAACAAACAATGAGCCTTTTCACTGTGTAATTCAAAGCGTGCAGACCACGCAGGGCCACAAACTGAGAATCTGCGATTTGGCAGGTGGCCTTCGTGGCCAAGCCAGGCTGGAATTCTTGGAGTCGGCTTTCGGAAAGAAATTCCTGTCGTCAAGGGGTTAAGAAATTTTTTTTTTAAATTAAAGAAAAAGCCTAAATTCCCTCGAAAACTGGTCTCTAGTGGATATATTAATACTAATGTTACGCCCCAACTATAGTATGAGTCCCAACTATAGTCGGGACAGTCCCATCTGTAGTGCTGCAGCCTGCAGTTGGGCTGGCCCAACTGTTGTTGACCAATGTCTGAAGGGATGTCTCAACACTATCAAAGTCAATGTGTCTCACACTTGATACAATTCATCTAAAATGTGGCACTTTCCCTGTTCATTTAGCCCTATGACCATTGACATGACATTTGTAAACTACATGACTTTGGCACATGCTGGGCACATCATGCACACAGGACCTCTCTGCTGTAGTTGGGCCGGCCCAACTGTAACACTCTAGTTGCAACCGGCCCAACTACAGTTGGGACAGATGTTACAGTTGGAGCGGTAACACTAACATTGTAATGCAAGTAATGTAACAAGACAAACCAGACTACCGGCTAAATCATGAACCTGAAGGGTGCACCCTGGTAATCAGGCCAGAAA